AGCTTCTCCCTCTCTCCTTGGTGAGTAATTCCAATGAGTGGGTTGGAGGTTGATTGAGAATGACTTTTTGGCATTTCTCACAATAATGTATGGAGAGCCGGAGAGGTCCCATTCTTCTTCTTGATTTGCCTCCCAATCAGTTCATGCTCATTTCTCCAGCTCAATGTGCGGCTCCCCTTTCTATTTGTTAAGACTAAAATTGTGGGTTGGTCACTTGGTCCCCACTCATGGGGAGGTCATCCCTTTGTACCCTGGAGTGTATTTGTTATCCCAAAAATTTTATTTCGTAGACTATTAATTAAATTACATTTTATTGTGTCCAAAAAATGTATATCATTCTCCCAACTAAAGTGGGTCCTTAAAATGAATAGATATTACCCAACCATAATTTAGTAGTCCTCAAGATTAATTTCAGGATTGATGTCCCGTAAATTATCATTTCTGGACTTCAAGCCCAACTTGACTGTTTTTCCTTCTTGACCTTTCAATCGTGGCCCACAACCTTTCCTACCATCATATAAGTATACCTAGACCAAGGTTAGCATTATATATGATCCCGAAAAGCGTTGGGTGGCCCCCACCCTCAATGTGGGCCTCACGCTGAATTTACCGTACTAGTAAAAGTTAAACAGTAAAAATTTATTCACCACTTTTCAATAACAAGGGTTCAAGTTTAATACATCCAGAAGTAAACATAAAAGTGGCCGGGGGAGGTGTTACAGTATTTTAATACTGCGTATTATACATTTAGAGCCCATTTGGTAACTCTAAAATTGGCTGAATTGGCTGATTCTGCTTAAATTTATGAAGTTCTGGCTGAAGTAGCCGTATTGGCTAATTCTGCTAATTCATAAAAATTATATTTAAAATATTTATTATTAATAAATTAAATAAAAAATTATATGAAAAAATAGCTAAAATGATCATCTATAGTAACTTCATCCAATACAGTCAGAAATGTAACTTCAACCTTACTTTTTCGACTTATTACAAAGTTCAGCGCGAGAAATCAAAAGTTACGTATTTGGTGAAAAAACTGTCTGATAAGACAAAAAAGGGGTCACCAAACCAGCTCTTAACCCTTTATATTTATAGTGATTGGACGGAGTCCATTGAGATTCGTTAACTTATGGTAGGAAATGTAGTTTCATTATATTGAGTGATGTGAGTTTTCAACGATTAAAAAAGAAGAAGAGATGTGCTAGATTGATTTTTATGAAATAAATTAATGTGAAAACAAAGCTAAATTAAAGATCCATTCTAGTTCGAAGTGATCAAGGATTGACTTTGTGGGCAACACCATTCAGGGCCGGTCAGTCTTAAACACATGAAAATTATTTAATTGAGCAATACAGGTCAATAATAAGTTTTTACCACTCTCGCAGCGTAGAATACAATATTTTAGGGAATCAGAATGATCTCTCATGCGACAAGTTCCTAAACTATTGCCAAAACAAGCAAGCGTACATCTCCCTAATCGTTACTATTCTCTTAGGGAACGATTAAGTGTGTGTGAAATGTGATAAAATAATTTAGGTCTCTCTTAAGTTATTGTATGTTCAATTATAATCCTAGCGTCCGCTCAAGGTTACAAAAGATATAAATTAAATTATTCAAACACAAATTAAATAAATAATCATGCATTCAAACCCTCAAGAACGAACCCTGGATCATGATTAACACCCCCTTCATCAATCCCAAATTTGTAATTAAATCTACTCACAATTCGTAATTGAAATATCAATAGAATTGAGAAGGAAAGAATTAATTGTCAGTAATTAAAAAATAGAACTTACAAATAATCCCACGATATTAAAGATCTGAGACTTAATACCTCTCAAACTTTCGTCCTAGGCACTCTCTATAAGATCTCTCCTCAAAACATGGGTTTAGAGGCTGTTTAAATACAAAACGGAGGAATTTTGACTAAAAAAGGCCCCTGAATAGCATGCACATAAGTTGTATATAATGAAAATCTTTATCCACCGAAACTTGCAAAACTGGGATTGGATCATCCAATAATAAGATATGGATAAAATGGTGGAAGGTCGCATCCTGAAATCTAAACAACGATGATTTGACTTACTCGTCTCTTTTCACCTTGATCCTCTTACATTCTCGTCATGGTGTCTTCATAACATTTGTAGTCCAGTGAGTTATCTTTATATGAAACTTGAATTGTGTCATTTGAAATTTTTTTTGAATATATATGCTAAAACAATTGATAGAACGTCATCCTTGAGCTTCACGTTCGTTCCTGTACTTATCCTTGAGCTCCCTTGATTTCAAAAATGCATCTTTAATGCATAATCGACCTTCAATACTTCTTCAATAACTTTTAAATGTGTCTCGAGTCCTCCCGAATAATTCTCCAACGCCGATGTCGGACTCAATTTCCTGAATTTAATTCTAAAAACACCAAATGCAAACAAAAATCCAGTAAATATGACTTGAGCTAATTAGGTGCTTTGTGACACATTTAACCTAGGAATCCTGATGAAAATCAATTCCAACATGTATCAAATGTGTGTCTAAATATGGACTTATCTTTGAGTTTGAGTATTCTTTAGGGAATAATATTGGAGCAAATTTAATGTAATATTTTTGTGAACTTTATTGTAGGAAATTTTAATGTATTTGAACTTGGATTCTTATCATATTGGACTAAAGTAAATTTGATGTTTTTACTTTGTTATTTTATCAGTATCAAAATGATTTTGAAATTTACTTTTGTTGGTCGACACAATTTCATTTTATTCTCTAGTTTTGAGTATTAATTTGTAATCCTTTTTGATTAATTATTTGCTATTCAATAGAACTTTAATCTAATATGCAGGGATATAATTTTTTCACTGTCACTATAGTAATTAATTTGGAGTCTTCTATAGTAATTATCTACGGAGTAATAATAATAACAAAAGTGAGAGTAGCATTCTCATCAGGTCGGCCTGACGGGAACCGCCGTCAGGCCAAGGCCATTTGTAGCCCTCCGCGGTCAAATTCTTTAATGAATTTGTTTGAGAATATTCTCCATTAAGTGCATATTATCTCCACAAAAGTTTAGCGTAAAATTCAATCGGTAAATCAGTTAAATAAATTATTTAAACATACTGCGATTAAAATAAAGCGCAGTAAGGTTTAATAATTTATTTTACTAACTCTTTGATTGAATGTTAAGCTGAAAATTTGTGGTTATAATCTAAACTTGATGAAGAACATGTGCTCAAAAAAATCTCATCAAAAAGTTCCATTGGGAAGGGCTCAAAGTGGCTTTGGTCTGACGTGATTCCCGTTAGGCTGACCTGATATGAATTGCCCTCATAAAAGTGATATGCGCGCAAGAAATTTTTTATTATGATCTTTTTGACCATGTTCATATATATATATATATATATATATATATAGAGGAATGCTCCTGTCCAGACGTCCGGACAGGAGCCGCCGTCCGGCCGGCGGCGTTTGGCCGCCTTCCCGGTGGAATTTTTTGATGAAATTTTTATGGCATGTTCTCCATCAAGTCTAGTTTCTCCACAAAAAAATTCAGCCAAAAACTCAATCGGGAAGGTCGTCAAATGATTTTTGCAAGTTAACTGGTCCGGAATATGTATTTTCCGGACCAGTTAACTTGCAAAAATCATTTGACGACCTTCCCGATTGAGTTTTTGGCTGAATTTTTTTGTGGATAAACTAGACTTGATGGAGAACATTCCATAAAAATTTCATCAAAAAATTCCACCGGGAAGGCGGCCAAACGCCGCCGGCCGGACGGCGGCTCCTGTCCGGACGTCTGGACAGGATCTTTTCTATATATATATATATATATATATATATATATATATATATAGAGGAATGATCCTGTCCAGCCGGAGGGACAGGATCTTCTGTCCGGACGCCGCCGTTTGGGGCGGTTCCCGGTGGAGTTTTTTGATGAAATTTTTATGGAATGTTCCTCATCAAGTCTAGTTTATCCACAAAAAATTTCAGCTAAAAATTCGATCGGGAAGGCAGTCAAATAATTTTTTGAAGATAACTGCTCCAACTTAAACATATAAAACGCAGTTATGTTTCAAAAAATTATTTGACTGCCTTCCCGATCGAATTTTTAGCTGAAATTGTTTGTGGAGAAACTAGACTTGATGAGGAACATTCCATAAAAATTTCATCAAAAAACTCCACCGGAAACCGCCCTAAACGGCGGCGGCCGGACGGAGGATCCTGTCCCTCCGGCTGGACAGGATCTTTTCCGTATATATATATATATATATATATATATATATATATATATATATATATATATATATATATATATATAACGTGAGAACACCACAGTTAACGTGTTGCACAAAGAGGCCTGTATATTGCTTAAAGATCAAATGAGATCAAATGAGAACATTGTTTAACGTGAGAACACCACAGTTACTCCAACGTGTTGCACAAAGAGGCCTGTATATTGCACTTTTCCGTGTTTTCACAATATTTACCAAAATGCCACCGTGTTATTTAATAGAGGCTTGATTCGAGGAAATTGAAAATGTGCAACAGAAGAGCTCATTTGTGCACCACATTGATATAAACGTGAGTGTCTCACGTTCTCACGTTAAACATCGTTCTCATTATATTGGAACCGCCTATATATATTGAAAGGAATCAGAATCTAATTATTTACTCAACATATTTATTTTTATCTTTTCCTTTTATAAAGGATCTCAGAATCCTTCCTTACCTTAAGTCATGCAACGTACCTGTATAAATATTTGAGTTATCAATGAGAAGGCTTATGGTTTTCACATACTAATTTACATGGCACCAGAGCAGGTTCACACCACAAAATCCTAAACCACACACAACGACTGGTTTCTGTCAACATGACGGGATCAGAATCACCAAAAATCAATGAGGAAGTTACTGGCTCCTCATCAACAACAATAGATCCGAACTCACCTTATTATTTACATGGATCCGATTACCCACGGACGATGCATGTAAATGACAGCCTGAACGATGGAAATTACGGGGATTGGTCCCAAGAGATGACTAATTTCCTGTACTCGAAGAACAAGATCGGTTTTGTTGATGGGAGCATCAAGATGCCAAATACAGGGGCACAACGAGATGTTTGGAAGCGTTGTGACGCCATGATCAAAGGCTGGCTTACAACAGCAATGGAGAAAGATATTAGAAACAGCGTAAAGTACGCAGAGAGTGCGAAAGAAATATGGGATGACCTGAAAGAGCGCTTCGGGAAGGAGAATGCACCACGCACTTATGAACTGAAGCGCGAATTAACCTTGATTCGCCAAGAGAAGGCCACTGTGCCGGCTTACTACACTCGGCTGCGTGGATTATGGGACGAAATACAATCAGTCTCACCCACCCCGAAGTGTTCATGCGGACTGTGTATTTGTGAAATCGGAAAAAGACTGCAAAAGGCGAGAGAACGGGAACAACTATATGAGTTTCTCATGGGACTGGATGAGGCCTTCAATACAGTCCGGTCACAAATCTTAACAACGAAACCAGCACCCACGTTGGGAGCCGCGTATCATATGGTGGCAGAGGATGAGAGACAAAGGTTGGTCTCGGATGGAAGGAGGCAACCACAAGAGGTCTCGGCCTTTGTGGCACAGCCAAAGAGCAGCAGCATGGAGGGTACTAATTCTGCCTCATATGTGCAGCAACAACATTTAAGAAGAAGTGAAGGCAAACGAACAGGGGCAGAGGAAGTTGTACGATGCAAACATTGCAATCGAACTGGACATGCCATGGAAGGATGCTTCAAAATAATTGGCTACCCGGAGTGGTGGCCAGGAAAAACAGGGAAGAAAGAAGGAAATAAGCCAACAGACCGACGTGATGAAAGAAGAACAAACCCACGTGCAGGACATGTGGACTCAGGACAAATACTTGGAGTGACAGCAGACCAATTGGCTCATCTTTTTAAGCAATATGTAGAAAATGATAAGTTCTCTTCACATAACACGTCTCCTACAGTAAATATGGCTGGTAAGAATCATTTTCTCCCACCTTGGATAATCGATTCTGGGGCAAGTGAACACATTACACATGACATAAGCTTGCTTTATGATGTGAAAGAGTATGGAAACGGGATGCCTGTCACTATTCCTAATGGGGACATTATGCCGGTTAAGGGAACCGGTAGAGCTAAGCTGCCTAATGAATTAGTCTTGAATAATGTCTTGTACATACCGGGATTTAAATGCAATTTACTGTCGGTGGACAAGCTGACCAGACAACTAAATTGTACTCTAACTTTCTTTCCGGATTTTTGTGTGATACAGGACTCACTCTCGAGGAACCTGATTGGCGTGGGTAGAAATCACGATGGTCTTTACTATATGGAGCCGACTGTGGGCAAAGGGACGGCTATGGCAGTTTCAGTGGACACCGAGACATGGCATAGACGACTGGGTCACGCTTCCGAGTCCAAGCTTCATCAATTTAGTTTTATTGGTAATAAAGTCGACAGCATAAAAAATTGTGAATCGTGTATACGAGCCAAACAAACTCGTTTACCTTTCCCTGATAGTTCAATAAAAACCACTGAATGTTTTGAATTGGTTCATTGTGACATTTGGGGTGGATATAGAACACCCTCCTTTTGCGGGTCTAATTTTTTTTTAACCATCGTTGATGACTTTAGTCGTGCTGTTTGGATCTACTTGGTTAAGTTCAAATCAGATGTGAGCACATGTTTGAAAGACTTTATCAATATGGTGAAAACTCAATTTGGGAAGATAATTAAGAGAGTAAGAACCGACAATGGTGGTGAATTCACTTCTAATAACATGTTGGATTTTTTTTTCTGAAAGGGGCATTTTACTTGAAACCTCTTGTGTGTGCACCCCACAACAAAATGGTGTGGCGGAAAGGAAGCACCGTCATTTGTTGGAAATTGCGCGTGCATTTCGGTTTCAAGCAAACTTGCTCATCGGTTGTTGGGGTGAATGTATATTGGCAGCTGCTTATGTAATCAATCGACTCCCATCAAAAGTTTTAAATAACAGAACACCTTTTGAAATTCTGTTTGGCCGAGTTCCTACATATGACCATATGCGAACGCTCGGTTGTCTCGCATATATGAGGAATATCAAAACAGGGGGAGACAAGTTCGCAGAAAGAGGACGACCATGTGTGTTCATTGGCTACCCAAATGGGCAGAAAGGTTACAGAGTATACGATTTAAAGGAATCCAAAATAGTTGTGACAAGGGACATTCAATTCATAGAAACTGAATTTCCTTTCAAACGAGCTGGTTTGGAAACAGATTTGGAGTTGCACTCTCAGGATCACAAGATTTTTGAAGACTTTCTTTACCGTTCCCACATAACTCAACCGGCAGCAGAATCTGACACTAACGTATCATTAGAACCTATGTGTGGTACTCCTACAGTTGAAGGTGAAGTTGAGGAATCAAACTCAATACACACCTCACAAGAACCCCAGCAGAATGCACAAGAGCAGCGAAGGAGTGCACGGGCACGAACACTATCACATAAACTGGATGGATATGAAATAGACCTGCCGCCGTCCCTAGACCATCTGCAGCCCACGACCAGCTCCGGTTCCTCGTCGGTACATCCTCTATCTAACTACGTATCTTACAAAAATTTCTCCATCACTCATAAGGCATTTTTATCGGCCATTGCCTCCAACGATGAGCCTAAGTTTTTTTTTCAGGCAGTAAGGCATCCCAAGTGGCGAGAAGCAATGCAAAATGAAATCAACGCCCTTGAGCAAAACGGAACTTGGACGCTTGAACAGCTGCCTCCAGGAAAACGTTCCATTGACTCTAAATGGGTCTACAAAATCAAGTATAAACCCACTGGAGAGATAGAGCGTTACAAGGCACGCCTTGTAGCAAGAGGGTTCACTCAAATCGAGGGCATAGATTTTCAGGAGACCTTTGCTCCCGTTGCAAAACTGGTGACCGTGCGAACCATGCTAGCCGTTGGAGTCAAGAAAAATTGGGCGATCCACCAACTTGATGTGAATAACGCCTTTTTGCATGGGGATTTGCACGAGGAAGTCTACATGAAGATACCTCAAGGCTTTGCGAAGGCGGGGGATAATCGGGTCTGCCGATTACGAAAATCGCTTTATGGGCTACGTCAAGCCTCAAGAAACTGGTACCACAAGTTCACTCAGGCTCTCCTACACATTGGTTTCAGACAGTCTAGGGCAGACCACTCTCTCTTCATCTACCAGCGGCATGCACTCTACGTTTCCGTTTTAATATATGTGGATGATGTCATTATTATGGGCAACTCTGATGCAAAAATAGCAGACATTAAACGCTATCTTAATGACCGTTTCACCATAAAGGATTTGGGCCCTTTAAAATACTTTTTAGGGATTGAAGTTGCACGAACACCAGACGGTCTAGTGCTCAGCCAACGGAAATATATGATGGATATTTTGGAGGATAGTGGGTTGACGGGTTGCCGACCAAGCTCCTTCCCAATGGAGCAGAATATTCGCCTGGAAGAATTCCCTGACAGTCCTGAGGTTGATGCATCACCTTATAGATGCTTGATCGGGAGGCTTCTCTACCTGCAGGTTACCCGACCCGACATAACCTATGCCGTGAATGTTCTTAGTCAATTTCTCTCACAGCCTCGACAACCACACCTGGATGCAGCACATCGCATCCTGCGATATCTCAAAACCACACCGGGCCAGGGGATATTTTTGCCTGCAGCTGGAGACTTGACACTGGCAGCTTATAACGATGCTGATTGGGGAGGTTGTCTTCTTACACGGAAGTCTAGAACCGGTTATTTAATCAAATTGGGAGATGCACCTATTTCTTGGCGTACCAAGAAACAGTCCGTTGTGTCCAGATCATTTGGCTACGTTGGCTGTTACGAGATCTTGATGCATCACAAACTGGACCGACTCCGTTATATTGTGACAATCAAGCTGCGCGCCACATTGCCAATAATCCTGTTTTCCATGAACGCACAAAGCACGTAGAGATGGATTGTTTTTTTGTTCGTGAGCGTGTGGAATCCCAGGAGATCGCACCACGCTACATCAATACACGAGACCAGATCGCTGACATCTTTACAAAACCGCTTGGAACAGATCGTTTTGCGTTTTTACTCGACAAGTTGGGCATTCGGAATCTTCATGCTCCAACTTGAGGGGGAGTGAAAGGAATCAGAATCTAATTATTTACTCAGCATATTTATTTTTATCTTTTCCTTTTATAAAGGATCTCAGAATCCTTCCTTACCTTAAGTCATGCAACGTACCTGTATAAATATTTGAGTTATCAATGAGAAGGCTTATGGTTTTCACATACTAATTTACATATATACACACACTTATAAAATTTTAACTCATTGTATTAATGCATAGAATTCAAGTAGATTTGAATTACAGTTTATATCGATTTCACAGACTCCAACTAGCAAGCATATATGTTATGTATATAGGTGTTACGAATTAATTAAATTTTGTAGTAGTACAAGAGTATAAACTTCTATTATTGCTAATACGATACTGACACATATTGATAGAAAATAATAATTAAATGTTGTGAAACATAAGCATTTTTTTGTTGTTGTAGAACATAAGCAATTAAATTATGATTGTAAAAGTGGAGTTAATAATTATTACTACGTATAAGAAACCGATAAGGGATTGACATATATTGGCATTTACTTTACTATATAAAACAAGAGTTATGATTTATTCACTTCTAATTAGGGAAGTTTTATACTTTAATAAGTCTAAAGACGTTCTATTTTAATTAGGATTAAAACATAAATAGTCTTATTTGTGCATTTTACCTGTGTTTTTGTCTTATATGTTTACAATTTGAAGGCCCGTATAAAAGTGGGCCACATATGTTCTAACATGCATGGTAATGGACTAATGGTATTCCTTCCTATTTAAATCATGAATTCACTATTTATCTCTTTCTCGAACTACCATTTCATCCCTCTGGGCGGGGCCTCTCTTATGCAGTCTGGATGTTGTATTCCTGCACAAAGTTGTAACTTCACTTTTGCGAGCCCATCATGGCCTACAACTTGGACAGAGATCAACAATCAAACAACGTCTCTCGACCCTGATTGTACCATATGGGACAATGAACAAAGTAAACTTTGCTTGGATTGCCAGTCTTGCAAAGCAGGAGTACTAATCGGCGTCACGAAGAAACTGAAAATCGCATATGGCATTCTGATTGTTTGCTTTGTATTACTTGTTATTTTTTATTTTATTATTATGTGTACATATTGTTCTTCAAGGGACTAAGCTTTAGTTGGGCGTCAGCCAAGCGCCTAGCGGCTAGGTGGACACCTAGGCGGAACTAGTCAAAACATATTAAAATTATTATATTTTTATCAATACTTTTGCGTAAGTATGATAAATAATACTCCTATTGTATTTGTGTGTGTTGATATAGTATATGTATGAATTGTCCCATTTAATAATATATTATCAATAATCACTTAATTTCATTATGTAATAAATATTAATTATACTCTCTTTTTCATTTAAAACTTGGCGAAATTATCTTTTCTTAGTCAATGATACTTATAATGAACTTTGGTCATAATATAATAATATACACTAGGAAAATTCGTTGTGTGTTTCAAAATAAATTGAATACTAGCACATACTAATATGTAGTATAGTGATGTAGAATTTGTATCCATATCAAAGGTAGTTATTAATAATGAGACTGTTCATTAACACCTCTTACTCTTAGACAAGTATAGACCACCGCCATATACTGACTTAATAGTTGCATTTAATCTCTTAATTTCTTGATGAAATCAATTGAGATTGATAACCTTAACACAACTATTTCGATTCAACCAACACAATTAGTACCTCTTTAGATTACTAACCATGAGACAATGCATTAATAACATGAAGTTACTTACTTGAGAAACCATCTATGATTGACCACTGGTTCATTGATCGTTCGGTTGTAGCCGTCGTCTGTCTGCCGACGACGACCTCCCCAACTGCCGTCGTGTGCCGCCTGTCTCCCACCGCTTCCTCAACCGTCTTCCTGGTCCGCCTGTTGCCCAACTTATCCCAAACCGTTGTTACCTGCCTCCGGAAGAAAGAATGAAAGAGAGAACATAAACCTTGGGTGAGGGCCAAGGTTGGACTAACTACTTTAGTGCAGGAGACAACAATCGATTGGCTACAACAAACCATGGTAGTTATAGAGGAGCTGAGCCAAAATCAATATCAAAACTTATTTTTGATTCTCAAATTCAGGGAGCCTACTCAGACAAAGATATATCTCCAACGCCAGTAGAACGACACATGCTTGTTTAGGCTTACTCAGATGCATCAGACAACTTTTATCAATCAGATTCTTCTTCTTTCATGGATCGGACGACTTTCTGGGACATGCTACTGAAAGCGATCGTCGTCCCCCTATCTCAACTCCAGGGGAAATTACGAAATCAAAATTCAACAGAGCGATCTGCAGGAAATCAAAGTTTGTTACCTCAGAAAATTACCTGCCAACGGAAAACTTAAACACGCAACTAAAAATCTACAAGAAATCTCACAAGAATAAAAGGTGCCACAGCATGACCATTAGGTCTCAGTCAAGAGAATTTCCTTGGGTG